TCTGGTCTACCGATTATCGTCCGACTGTTCTTTATTAATAACTTGGCGGACCGAGCACGTTCGTTTCAAATGGTAACGAGTCTAACGCACCTGCTCCGTCGCGGCGCGTGCGTTTCTCTCATCGTGAATCCGTGGATGCTCGGGGGTTCTACACGCTGCACCCAGGATTCGAACGTGGATCGCACGAAAGCAGATGCTTTCCGTTTGTCGACAACGTTGCCGATCGCCTTGATGCACGTGACTGAAAAACGGAGCTTCTTCGACTCCTTTCGCTAAGTTCGCAAAGTTCAGGCTCGAGATCGTTCGCGATAGTAATCTTTCGTCCAGTGAGCGCGAAAAATCGTTCGTCGATAATTTCGAGGTTCGATCTACGTGTCTTTCTCTTCAAGAGCAGTTTCCTTCTCTTTGAATCTACCAACCATTTACTGATAATTCGCTGATCTTAATCTATTACACTTGCTGAATTTTAATGCACCGGAAGGGGAAACTAGGCACTCGTAAGTCTTTCACTCGCGACTATACTAGTCAACTAGATCAACAAAGTTTACACCTCAGCGAATTTCCTCTATGCGGTAAATTGGATTTTCTTTTTATCAGTTTCCTGAATTCTTAATCTTTTGAGTGCTCGTTAAAATGATCAAAAATATAAGTTTAATACTAAACGAGACTGTACACCTACTTTTTAGTATATTTATTTATTTTATCAAAATCTGTGATCCCCTTCGTACCTCTAATATAAATAAATAAATTATTTTAAGCATCTCAAGTTATCTATACGGGAAGTATAAAAGTACGGAACGTTCAAAGTATTAAGACTAATGTATATAAAGCTATTGCCTTACAATATATCACAATGTATGTCCACAATTTTGTCTAATGTAATTTTGCTTATTTTATCTCTAACTTTAATTTCGCTCGTCCGTAGTTGAATTAACATTTGCCCCTGCTACACTTTTCTCATTATTCTCTACAAAGACGGGGCTCTGCGTATTTGTATATCTAAACGAACAAATGGATCTTTTCGGACGGAAAGATCCGACCTTCCACGATTTGACACGCGAACGAGCACGTGAATCCTGTTGAATTAAGTCACCCGTAGAAACGGACCTGCACAGGTAGGCGAGAGAGTGAATCATACCTCGCTACCGACTGCACATCGGAATGTAACATCGGGCCAACTTTGGCTCTTGCCTGTCTGATCCGCGGTAAAAGTCTCGCGCTTTGTGTTTACACATACAGTGATCGTGCAATCAGAGCGAACGAAACGCCGGAAAATAGGAAAATTGCGTGCGAACGTATCGACTAGGGGAAAGCGGCAAGGAGAAAACGACAAACATTCGCGCGTTTCAAATAAACGCTTCCATCGCGTGTCTCCTCGGATGGAATCAACACTCTTCAGGGGAAGGGGTTGACAGGGTAATAAGAAACAGAAGGAAGTTTGCAAAAAGCGTAATTTGTGGTGTTGGTAGTACTCTCGCTTTGGCTTAAGTTTCGACGTAAATCCACGTTGTGAAATTTGTGATTAAGAATGCAGAACATTCTGAGTCACAGAAAAATAAGTAGAATTCGCGAATTTTTTTAAGTAGCTACTAGATGGAAAGTTGCAATTTTCTGCAGATATATAATTATGATTTTCAGCCCTGTATTATCAATTTTTTTTTCCTTTTCTTAATATTCAACAAGATGGAGTTGTTTATGAAATTCGAAATTATATGTCGATTATTAATTGCTACGATGGAAAAGGGCTACAATATTTCCGGTAAAAAAAGCCCTACATTATGAAAACCAATAGTTTTGTTTCACATCAGGCATACAAGAACAATCCACGTTCTAATAGTTAAGTGAATATCCCTTTTCAAGGACTGAATGTTTCAAAAACACTGCAAGTTCTCATTTCAATAATTACCAATGGAGAAAAAATTCGCGAAACATTCAAGTTTTGCTCCATTCCAAATCATCGCTGCGCGAGACGATACGTGACGAAACTATCCTGCGTTGACATCGATCGGCGAATGAATTTTTCAACGTTCGCTGCGCAACGCGCACCCCTTATCGATATCACGAAACATAAAATGCGAGAGCAGCATCGACACGACTGACTTTCGTCGACTGATCGGCTACTTTACGACACAAAAGCTGCAAACCGACAGCTCCGACAGAGATAGACAATATTAAGAATATTTATACGCCTAACTATCCTAAGTATCCACCGGCTGGCGTCGGCTACATCGGAGATCTGTCAGCGGGGCGCGAGTCCGAGCGGACGAGAAACAGGTGTTTCGAAGATAGTCTTGTTCGGCGGACACCTGCAGAACATTTCCAGCTAATAATAGAATCAACGAGAGCGAGAGTGCGCGAATCGGTGGCGGATCACCGGATTGCGTTCGCGTTCACGCGGCTCCGAGGAAAAATTCAATTGGAAATTTCGCGGCGAACGACGAGGCGCGTGCGCCGGTATAGACTCGCGGTTGTTTGTCGTGTGTGTTGCTGTTTATTCGGGAGATCTCGTTCGTCAGAAGCTGCATCCACGTAAAGCCACGCGAAAGATCGTCGCGAAAGTGGGTCGAAGTAGGAGCGCCGTCGGTCGAAATTAGGTTCTAGACCATCCCTACGAACTGGGTCAGCGGCACACGCGCAGCGTGTTCGAGAGGCGAACAGCCGCAAAACTATACTCCGAAATCGTCGCGGCCGGCCACACCGCCCGCCCCTTTCGCGGTTATCTTTGCGCGCAAATCGCTTCGAGCTCCGAAAATCCAGCCGAGCCAAACCGAACCGAACTGAACTGAACCGAACCGAATCGAACTCGGTCGTTCGCACTCGACCGAGTGAGGGAAAGAAAAAAAAAAAAAAAAAAAACGTTTCCTACTTCGATTCAGCGATTTCGCGAATTACGAGGAGAGTTTCCCCATATGTTTGTTTGCCTCGCTTTGTTGTTTCGTCTTTCCGTTAATTGCAGCGCGCTGGCCACGGACCACGCGCTCTATTACATAAACTCGCGAACCAGGGTTCCATAACGTAATCCAAGAATAAATTGTTGGCTAACAAGTAACGACTAACGCTCTCATATCTCTTTCCTCTCTCTCTCTCTCACCTTCTACCTACCTAACTACAATACCTATCCATCTATTTCCTTCGTTTCGGGAGACATAAAGTTCGCCGATCGATCGAGAAAAGAAATGGCAACGAGACAAACGTGAGGCGAAACGGTGTAAACTTCGACGATAAACGCCAGGCTATTCAACAACAAAACCCACCGATATTTAACCGACGATCGTGCACGCACAGACGTAAATACACAGACACGGTGTATAGAGACAGGTCGGAAGGGACACGACCAACGAGAGACGAAATGCCAAGCTTTTTCACGCATCGAGCGTGTTTGCCTTTCAAGAAACGCCGCCTCTCGGAGAACAATGCTCGAATATCTCGATGATCGTGAACTAAAGCACTCGTGAAAGCACAAACTGGGCTGATAAAGATGATCGATACCCGCGATATATATCGCGTTCGAACGCGTGTCGCGTGTAACGTTCCATGAACATCGTCCGATCGAATCGATCGCCGTTGATGCAAAACATCGACTTTCACGTCTCTTTTTTCACTGGGATTCACGAAACAGTTCAAAACTAATGAACGAAATCTGAACAAGAGCAGACACGGAATAATAAATCTAAATTGTTCGAGCTTATTTACCGAGATAGACGCGGTGGTCCGACGACATCGATAATTTGATTCGACTCGAGTCGGAGAGAAACGTCGACAGCATCGAACAGCATTGCAGAAGGAGCAAGGGGTCTCTCAGACCCTCAGGTAAAAATATATTTCGATTAAAACGGTGGAACGCGTATACACGTATGTTGCGGGAGAGACACAAGCGTTGGCAATTATACGCACGTGAATCTTCTCGTAGTTACACGTAGATCTCCCGCATTCTAGCCAATTTTTCAGATAGAAACAATACGTGTATATCCTCGGCACCGGGATAACACGTCAACGAGGAACGCGATACTCATCGGTCGAGGCGTGCTCATGACAGACGCGAACGAGCGAAATGTGGGGTTAGGTTGCCGGACGCGAGCGTGAGCACGAGGCGCATGAACGAGCGAGGAAACACGAGTGATATGGGAGCCTCGGTTAGTCAAAAGGGGCAGCGAAACCTTTTCCGAGTTAAGAGCCAAATCGGAGCAGACACCACAATAGACAGAGGGAGACAGAAAAACGGAGGAAGAAAGAAAAAAAAGGGGAGACAACGTTCTCGCGACGTGGTTCGCCTGTAACTCCTTCCTCTCTCGAGCCTGATTCTTTTGATACTTACCACCGTTAACACGAGCGTGCATACAAGCGAGCGATCGTACATTGGACACGACGCGCGCGAGCGCAATTACATACGGCACGTACGACGCGACACACGCGCATTCATACACGCCAGTCATACGAACGAAACCCACACCCACTTGTACTGCCAGGAAGGACGCAACACGGGGATATATTACCAGTCCGTTAAGATACGTACGCGTCGAGAGATGCATATAACACGCGTACGAGTACGAAAACGGCACGCGTTTATCTAAGGTAAAGTCTCAGCGTCGAAGTCGGAAGGTGCACGACGAAGACAGCGGTGGAAGCGGCGGTGACGGTGGTGGCAGCGGTGGTAGCAGCACCAGCGGCAGTAGCAGCACCGGCGATTCAAGCTTGGTCTGCCACATGCAACGAATCTCCGATCGGAGATCGGCGACGAACGCGAGAAGAAATTCTCCCGGGGAACGATGGTGATCGGGCACCTCGGAGGCCGCGCATCGATACTCGCTGATGTACGAACGTGTGAGTGAGCGCTCGCTCGCTCGCTCGCGCGCGCACACACTTGCTCGTTATTTTTCCTTCGTCTCTCTCTCTCTCTTTTTCTCCTTTTCTCTTTTCCTCTATTTTTCTTTTTTTCTTTTCCACTTTTTCCTTGCTCTTCTCTTCTTTCCTTTTCTTTTCTTTCTTTCTCTTTGGATGACGTTCCCTCTCGTTTGCTCTCTTGCCACTACGCCTCCTTTCCGGTCTTTCTCTTGTTCACACACACTCACTCACTCACTCTCTCTCTCTCTCTCTTTCTCTCTCGCGTGCGCGTTTACTCTTTCACTCGCTCGTTCTCTGTCACTCTCTTTGGGTGTCCGTCAGTAACCTAGAAAGCGGTGGCGGCGGCCATTCAGGATTACGGGACTCCGTCCGTACGTCCGCCTTGTCCAACCGATCGACCGAGGGGACGAGATTACAACCTACGTCTCGTCACAACCATGAAATATCCCAATGTTTGATATCCGACTTCGACTGGTTCGATGAATTTCACGCCGCGAACGCACGTACGCACAATATCCCGTTTTTCAACGTCCGACAATACAACCGCGACGACGATGATGATGATGATGAAGACGATGACGACGGCGACGGTTCCTTTCCTAGCAGTGAGACGAAATGCAACCTCGACGCCGCGATTGATATTAGAATCGTGGAGACTGTCCACAGAAATGACACTGTACTCCTTGGGACGCAAGCACTACTCACTAGCCGCGATCTTGGTCGAGAGAACGCACCTTCGCCACGACAGATCGGCAAGCAAGAGCACTACGGAACTATGGGTGTGCTTCTTTTGCCAGCGTTCTTACGTTCCGATCGCCGGATTGTAAATCAAAACCGTGCGACCCTTTGATCGAGCGGCTTCAATACAAGAGATATTTACCCATTTGTGACAGATTTTCCGTACGAGACGCACCACATTAACGACCGTCCCCCACCTATTACCACATACAGACATTACCACACTTCGATTTTTCAAGATGGCGACGCACCGTCGTCGGGTCGAAACACGATGTGGATGGGACGTAAAGTCGCGGCGCTGCGATCGCGCTGATCACCGACGCTACGCGGCGATAAATGACAACGCGTTTGCCCGCTAATTTTCGAATCGCCTTATATCAGCGAGCGAACGGCTAGTGAATGTATCTACGAGCTATCGCGATTCCCGAATATCTTTCGAAACGGAGGAGATGATTCTAGGAAAAATATCTTGCTTTCATATCAGTTTTCTACGAATATTATTCGATGAATGTACACTGATACAGTTTAGCTTTGCTCAAGTTTCGAGTTCAACCTCGAAACGGTTCTCCCGGCTAGAAAGTGGTCTAATCGATAGCAAAATATTTCTGTAACAATTCCTCGTATATGTCTTTGTCGGTTTTTAAGAACAGACAAAAGATTACTCTGTCCACCTGCAATTTCAAACGGAGACCAATGAATATCCTGACGTGTTATACTAAACCATGATGAACCAAAAATAAAATCTTACACTGTCTTTGTTATCGAGTAGGAACTTTTTGACCGTTGATAAAGCCACTTTGGCTGCTGGTTTTTGCGGATATCCGTATATACCTGTAGATATGCAGGGGAAAGCAATTGTGCGCAATTGATTTTCTTTGGCAACAGTCAAACTGTTCTCATAACACTCTTTCAATTTTTCCGGTTTTTCTCCTTGCGGGCCGACTGTGTGAATGACATCTAAAAACATTGTACCCATAAGAATGCTACCTTTGATCATTGTTTGTTATACTAACGCTTTGCAGGTAGCATGTAACCCCCAGTTATTTTTGCTTCGCCGACACGGCATCCTCCTAAAGTAGCACACTCTTTCTTTAAATTTGGCCCAGCAGCTTTGTGAATAGCTCCGTCAACTAGGAAACAGATTTTACATCTTTTAACATACCGGACTAGAGTTTTTTTTCTTTAATTTCTACTTGTAGTACCTCCGCCACCACCAAGGAGACTTGAATTTGCTGCATTGACGATCGCGTCTATTTCAAGGGAGGTGATGTCTCCTTGCCATATCGAGATTTTCTTGGCCAGTTCCTCATCGACTTTCTCAGCTTTCTCAAGGTTCATTATGCCGATATTTCCTTTGTTTTTTGTCCAATATTCCACCCATGTCGGAATTTGGTCCAACGTGATCACGCTTCCCTTGTAGTATTTTCTTTTCTCTTCTAGCGACATGGTCAAGAATTTCTCTGTTCAAATAGAGGCAGACGATGATCAACGATGCCTTGTGACCTTTTACTACCTAATGTTTCTACGAACAGGACCGATCGCAGTGACCTTGCTTTTTGCTACTTTTAAACGGCGCAATCTACATATCGACGTTTGCTATCGTATCGAGCGATCGAAACTACAAACTTTTATGTAACTACCCAAATAAACAAAATGATCGTGTATGCTCTTACGTTTCTCAACCTCGAACGACATCTTCGCTTCAGGGTGATTGACAGACGCAGCGGAACTCTTTCGAACGAGGAAATTCTCAACTATAGGTCGTACAACGGTGGTAACTGCGAAACGATCGACGACGTTCGCCTGCAAATCAGAAATAATTCTCTTCTCACTACGCAGTTCACTCGGCCCTTGACATCCCCTCGTCCCTTACTCTGAGAGCCAACATAGTCTTCCGCTCGGAAAAATCGTTAACAACCTTTGTCAATCATCAATCTCTACTTCCGCAAAACGAGACGTTCAAATTCGAACCTTTTCACCTTTTTGTAACGAACTCGAGTTTACTCACGGAGGCTAAACTATGGCAAAGTCTTGTTTTGTTTCCGTCTCTCAGCTGCGACAGTGACCGGTGAAAAACGAACTTAGTTGGGAGAATCGTTGTTGCCGCAACGAAGCTTCAATGTAGACATCTAGTGGAAGGCGGTGCAAACATATCTGTGCTTTTGCAATGTGGATGCGCCATCTGCTGCGAGTATCGAGTACTGTATTTAAATTGGCGCTGATCATTCATATTTATGTGCAAGATTCATTTGGCCTTTCACGTTGCAACTTTATGCTAATGCAAATTCTCTCGCTTACCATTTTTTCGCTTTTTACGTTATATGCACTGTATACTGCGTATATAATTTGTTTCTTACTTTTATAACTATCCTACAACTAATTATCCAAAATCAAGCATTCTGTAACGTGCATTAAATCGTATAATGAAATACAAAGCGGATGAAATTCGTGTTGGCGTTTATTATAATAGATGGTGACACGTATCACAGCGTGGCTGTAATTTAAAGTGTATAAAGTATGTGGATATCAATTTATTGGCTTTGGATGAAATTTTAATTATGCAATTTTAATCAACGAAAGCTAGAGGAATGATAACGTGTAAGCATTCAAATGATCAACGTCATTACCGCGATTTCTACTCGGAGGCTTGTGCATCGAATAACGAAACAAGGTTGTAAATTTCGTTCTATTTCTAGGTCAAGCGTATATTCTATTAAAAAGTTCGATTCAACAACAACGACACGATCTTTAAAAGACTCGAAGTTTAAATGCAGCGCCCCTATGTACGAGGGTGATTACATACCTAGGTATTTACATTATACGTATCTCCTTTGTTACGAGCCGTAAATAAAATCGTAAGTTCTTCCGCGAGTTCGTTTTTGCTGGAATACTACTTCAACTATCCGATGGAACACGAAAATCATGATTTCACCTTAAACATCGACTATCGATCGATCATACCATTCATCGTGATTTCATTCATTGCGGATATGAATCATTGTAAAGTCGAAGTAGCGTATACTCAAAATACAGAAAATTGATGAACAACGCTGACGACGTCGACGCCGACACCGACGCCAACGCCAACGCCAACGCCAACGCTAATGCCAACATTCAACGTCATCAGCAACGCCACCCCGAAGAGAAAGACCGAACGAATCGTATTCCTGTTCCGCTTTTGCACGTTTATGTGTATAAGGGGGAGCTTCGTAGCGCATGCTGAAAGCTTCAATTATCGATCCATATGCGCCTGAGCTTTCGCGTCCGGCACATAAGCTTCGCGTACTTCGTCTAGGTGAAATCGTCTTATATACGTGTGGTCGACACAACCGAGCCCAGATCAGACAGATATTCGTTTCATATTTATCGCCGTACTGAGTACACGCAAAGGGAAAAGGATGCCGCGTCGTATGGATAACACCAAAACGATATTTGTATTCTGTGAGTTTGCGAGTTTGATTAATTCGTATTGGTGTCGATTCGTATAACGACGACAATTGTGCGCGTTCAATCTCTGTCTGTTTGATCAAATCGAAAATCCAACCGATCTGATCGTGACGATTAACCATCGACTTGTCGTGCTGATTAACTATCAAGTTGCCTTGCTGTGCTTTCATCTCGTTTGCAACATTACAATGTCCGAATATCGTGTCGTAGAATCTAAGGATTTGGTAATAGCTGGAATGACATCGTGTCAATCCGAATTTTGCTGAAATTTTCACGGAATTACGATAATTCAATTTGATGGTGTTACTTGGCAGCGTTGTATTGCCTCTTCCTTTCGAATCGAACGAAAAACCGTGCCGGACGTTTATATTTAACTCTCTGAGTGATTACTAAAATTATACATCAAACATCTAAAAGTTTAATACCGAATGAGAAGTATATAACAAATTAAATTATCTTTTGGTATATTGCGAGTCTCTAGTAAGCAACTTATAACGAATTTCCTACGAATTGTCTGTACCATACTCCAGTACGAGCTAAACTCTCAGAGGATTAATTCGTTTTATCGAGAAATAAGATTTCGTTTTAAATCGAGAAGTAAGATTCCAACATACAAAGATAAAAGAAGAACATCTTACTAAATGTTGCATACGATAATCGTTTCTCGTAAGATCAATTATCTTGAATTTGAGGGGTAAGAAATTTTTCAATCGAGATGTCATCGACGCGCGCACTCTTTTGGGTAGGATAGTGGCGAAAAGTTATGATCAAGAAACCTAGCTCACCCCGTAACAAACGACCTTTTCTGCAGGGTGTGTCTTGAGTACGGCGTTCAGTGTGCCTAGCTCGTCATTAACGCCGCAAAAATTAGAGGAGGAACTGTACACGACACGTCGAACACCGAAAGTTCTCATCGACTTACCTGGCTACAAGTCCAAGTCCAGAACCTCGGCACCTCAGATTTTGGTAAGAGTACTGTCCTGAAAAAATAAACGTAATTGTCAATCGTTTAAACGTTATGAATATTTATTTTATTTATTTTGGAAAATGCGTGCATCTATTATATATTTTCATAATCGAGATACATACATGCAAGAACAATTATTTAATTTTAAATGAATTCTTGGTATATATATTTTGTCGATCACTTGTCGATTTGAATGTTCCAAGATGACTAACTAAAATTCCTTTTATTCATTCCGCTTAAATAATGTTGACCTTTTGTTATAACATGTATCTACTATAGCCAAGTTTGCATAGTGACAAAATTGACCTTTTCATGGGGAATGACCCTTAACTCATTGGTGTCCTTAACTATTCAGGAACGACGTGTGTCCATCATAATAACTCTTTTACAATTTCTATTAGAGAATTATTTCACCAGTACTAAATTTCATAATTGTATATAAACAAAACCAACATGTGATCGTTAATATTATTATTATTAATATAATTTAATTTTGTGAAAATGATCAAAAAGTCATACGTCGCCGTATGTAACTATGGAATCATGAGTGACAACTTATTTTTCTTCTTCTTTTTTAAATAAATAGTTCATTAAGTATAACCTGTTGCTTTTCCTGTTTACGTTTCACGAATCACATACGCGTTCGATCATGTTACATTATTTTTAGTTAATATTTTATATTTCTAGTACATATTTTCCTAGTTAATTTCTAGATAATTTCTAGTAATTCAATTCGTAATTTGCAAAAAATGAATGAATAAAAGCACCATGATAATAAGCTGAAACTATACATGGATTGTGGTCACGGATTTTTATGCACTATACTTTAAAGCAATAAATTGTATATAATATAAAAATACAATAAAAAAATATATACACATAAACACATATACACATAAAATATCCGAAATACAGTTGTTTTTGTAACATTTAATAGATAATGACTAAAAAAAAATAATTATGAAAGTTCTATTTTTTAAATTTATCTTCTGAAAAATATGAATATTTTAAAAATCTATTACTGGAACGAAATCTAAAAGTATCAAAATGCACACAATGCATATAATATGCAAGAAAATATTCAAAGTATCACACTCGTTATGATATTTAGTCAGTAAAATAAGCTTCTACTTAGATTTAACTTGTTCAATTGCATTCTTAAAAATATAAAAATGCATAAAAATTCGCAATCTAGTGATCACAATTATTTTATTATTGGTTTCTTACGATTTATAAAAACGTAACCTACATTTATCAGAGAGGGCATTTGTTTTATTTCGATTAACCAACCGAAGGCGATATTATTTAATTAATTAAAGGCAATATTTAAACCACCTTTTGCTGAATAATCGTTTAAATATCGATGCGTTTTAAAGCCGGTTGGGAACTTGAACGAAGCAAAAAGTACTGCTACGATAACTTCGGAGTCAACGACGACGCACAGATCATTTTCCACGGAGCAGCCTCTTTATCGTTTGGACGGCAGTAATGGACAAGCTTGTATTCTTTTGCAAGTAGACGCCCTGATCACGGTGAAATACCGAACGAAAACTGGAGATGACGATGTAAGTATGGGAAATAATATAAGAAAAACTATCGAGGAAAGAGTAGCATCGAGTATGCTATTTTTTTTTTCAGGAGGCGAATATTTACGTGCCGACTTATGCCACTGTGACCGGCAATTGCGATAACCAAAATACGGTGACGATGTCGCTTAAGTGGGATGCATACGTACTATCATGGAGCTTCGCAAAGGTAGATAATATGTAGCATACTACTCAATCAGATTCTTTTTATTATTATAGTTCTAGTTTCTTCTTGAGGGTTTTTATTAGTTAGAGCAGAAGTCACGAGTGATTATTAATTTATAAATAAGGGCATTGATTATGAAATTATCTATAGAATTAGTACGGACTAAACTCAAAGGAATTAATGCGATACTTGACATTTATTTTATTTATTTCTGATTTAGAATTTATCAAGGCCGTCTAGTGATTTTACCAAGATCTTCATAACATTCTGAATAATCACCATCCAAACTGGTGATCGCGTCGTACGATAAATCGTACGTAACTTGACGTGCAATGAATATGCGTTGATATTATTTTAGTGAAAATATCATGCTTCAGAGTTGTATTTTTAGGGCGATAAGTAAATGCGTTGTCACGCAACTCAATTTCCCTTCTTTCATACACATGTATGTAACTCACGACACAGTTTGTTCCTAGAAATGGCTGAGGTCACGAATATTGCGTTACCGTGAAATTATTCTTTTTCTCTTTTTTCTTTCTCTCTCTTTTTCTACAAATCGATACTCGACCAGTCCTTCTTCCTTTTTCTATATTTTTTTACTGTTTCACTACCATTTTATTATTAATACGATTTAATGCATTATATCGAAAAAATTCATTGTTAATTTTGATAAATCATCGTCGAGATGTGGTTGTAGTATGAATTCAAAGACGATGTCGAATGTTTAATGAAAGAAAAAATTCATTTCTTTTTTTTTTTCAGACACCTGGTGGTGAACGATGGTACGTGGAGAAGATCGAACTAACATATAATTCTAGCGACCGACACTTTGTGAATATCGATCAACCGAGTAAGTTCGATTTAAAAGCTCGCACGAGATACTCGTTTTACCAATGAGGTGATCATCTCGAGTCATTTCTGTTTCCAGATAAAACAATTAGGCTGAGCACTGGACAAAAGCACAGCCCCATGTTGTTCCCGACACCGGTTGGAAAGTCGTACGCCTGTAACGAAGAGACGGAAGTTCCCCTAACCGATGGGAAAAATCATGCTGTTGTGCTTCTCAGGTATATAAAACGCAATATCCAATGAACGTGAAAACTAATTTTAAATATCTCTCCCTGTATTTCTATATTTATACTGTCTCTATATTTTATATATAGATCATTCGATGCGAAAGTGGTCCATCTTTTTGTCTATTTTCTGTGCAGACTAAAACTTTATTCTGTGGTAAAAAGTATAACTTTACAGTGGGGCTCGCGTAAAAGCGACGCAATGTTCTTTGATGTTATTGAATTTCACAGAACTTTCACTTCTTCCCTCGTTGTTACTTTTTCTTACTTAAATGTTTACGTATCTACATTAAACGGCTCATATGCCACAGCATATCCTGTATAACGTGTTACAGAATCGTATTAATAATTTTATAGTAAGCGGGCAGAATTGTTAGTTTGCAAAAAAGGATTTAAATTCAAAGTGCAATGTGAAATTAAGTTAGATTTTGGTTCCTGAAAAGTTGACAACATATTCCATTGTACTTCAAGGTATACGTCATTTTCTTCGTGTCGTTGTTCATTGAAACTTCATTCACACTTTTGCCCACCTGCCACAGCCTGATTACGCTCACGATGTAACGAATATGCTAAAAATTTCAGAGACATGAAACTGCAGCCGTTCAAATTCAAGAACAACGAGTTTGCCACCGAGTTCTCATGTACGTCGTTGAGCGCACGCGGATTTCGAGATGAAACAGCGCCTGTCGCGGTTGGTTCCACGTTGGCTGCTGCCGTTCTCCTCACCATCACCGGATACGCGGCCTATCGCTACTTCAAGGTGAAGAAAGTCAAGTACGACACCATGGAGTAAACCACCATCTCTGGAAACGCTGCCTAAGACGATGCAACGCTTAGAGAACGACCAGTCTTTTCTACAAGATGCTCTTCTCTGGTGTCAGTCGTCGCTGACGTCAACGTGACGGACGCCTGTCTTGTGCTCGATCCTTATACAACACGATTGATACAAGCGTTCCTTCTAGAATCCCAAGCAACATTCGCTTGAAACCCTATGATAGAACACCGTCAACGTTTCGTTCATGATCCGTGAAACCGTTTGTGATCGTTAGTTTATACACGAATATAATCGAATTGTCCTATTCGAGGTTTTTAGTCGAGAAGAGAAGAGAGTCCCGATTGTCCAACGCGTGCGTAGACGTGACGCCTCGAAGAAATTGTTTCGGTTTCTACCTTTAGACCGGTCGCAAACGGCTGCAACTTGATTAGGACACGCCAAAAGCAATCAACCGAGTACGTTGTAAGTATTACGAGACAAACCGTGTTCGCGTCAAATTCGTGTTCGCAAGCTCTGATGGTTGTATCGATAGATCTTCGATTATCGTACAGTGGCATTGATCCACTCTCCTCTGCTGTCGGTAACAATTTAACATCGTCCATCGTAGAACACTCGGAGGATGAAAGCTTTATGAGAAACACCACCACTTTCTTCCTGTAACAAATCTTGTATACTCGACTAAAGTATATCGTGTTTCATATTTTTTATCGATAGCAATGTGAGTCGCGAGAAATATCGTATACGTAGTTCGTAGCCTGTAAACGGACTAATCCTTTTTACGTTCACGATGCTCTCGTTTGTACGCGTTTGCGCGTGTTTGAGTTGGCGCTGTTTGCTTCCGATGGTTAGCGAATTCTCTCTCGCTTCGCTTGTCTTTTTCTTTTTTTTTTATTATAAAATGACGAGTTGCCCAAAAGCGTCCTCGATCTCCTCGTCGTGGAGAGGAAGCCCTGAATCGGCAGCTAAGAATACTCTTTAGACTCGTTAGAGAAACGAATAGCATAACAAAAAAACACGAGCACGATTCCATCTCGGCGGCGATACACAGATCATTCAGGTTAGTTTAAGCTCTCATAATTCCTTCCGTTTCTCAAATAATGTACATAGTATCATATTTAACAACCGTGAGTTGCGTGTCGTGTCCCAAATAACAAGACTCAAGTACGATATCTATTGTTAACGATCGAACAAACGCGTTGATAGAGTCTACGCTGCGCGTGAATTAAAAATTACTTCACAAGAAATAACTGGTTCAAGTGAAACAGCGATACGATTTGCAAATTATTTGTGGATCAAGGTGTGGTATCTACATTTTATATGTGTGACGATCGCTAGGTTAGATCGTTTCATTTTTATCTTCTAATTCTCGATGTAACATATCGTGTAAATACGTTATAGGACGCGATCGAGCAAGCTCGCTTTCCCCGTGAGAAACAAACGGCTTTGTCAGCTCGAGGGAGTACGCAACAGATGATTACCTGTGTCACTTGTCTTTTTCAGTCTGTTTATCTCCTTAGCATTTTCCCTACGCTTTCTGTTTCGTTCGCGAAACGAAACGGTGACGCATTCCGCGAGCTTTAACGATCGCGTCGTGTTTTGAACTACCTTTAACAACATGTCGCGAATTCGTTACTCTAGAGCCAATGGATAGCCCATTGTCGCATAAGTGCATATCTTGACGCGTAAATTTGTCCTGAGGATGGTCGAACGATGAAGAGCCGACGAAGGATCGTCGTCGATCTTCAATCACGTTGCGATGATTTCGCGCAGGTACGAAAGGAGACGAAGCTCGGGGAAATAACGTACGGAAGAATGGCCAGAAGTTTAGTATCTGATCGTAATTTTTGAACGAAAGTTGATGTTCCAACGTCCCCTCTAACATCCACCGATAGAGATTCCTCTAGTGTTGGGATTTTCATTCATGTACTAACCACCTCGTTGGTTGGAGTTGTCCTACCTAAAATACTGAACTACAGGGAAATATAACGTATCGAGTCAAAAAGAAAAAGAAAAAAAAAGAAAAAAAAAAAAGGATAATCGGAAGAGTAACGTCGTACTTAACCATAATTCGCACGCGTGCATATATATTCACGCGTGTTTCCAGCAGGAATAAACTTACAATTAGGGATATGTGCGTAACACGAACCTCTGTCTTCCAAGCGTGTATTGAAGTTGAACTTTCGTGTGTATGTACATATATGTATACGTACATGCATATATGTGTACATACACACATACATGTGTACATTTATATTATACACACGTATTGCACATATAATATATACAAATATATATGCATATACTAATGGATATGTACACACATATATTATATACACTGTATACATACATATACATACACACACACACACATACACACACATGTACACACCGAAAATCTATTTGGAGAACAAGAGAGAGAGAGAGAGAGAGAGAGAGAGAGAGAGAGAGAGAGAGAGAGAGAGAGAATGAGAGAGCAAGGAGAAGAGAAGATATTACGGATATCGTATATCTCTTTTCAGCATGTATCTATAACAGAAATGACGTGATAGCGGTCGATTCGCGATGTTACGTCGGCAGAATGAAGGAATGTGTTTCTTTTTACGCATTTCCAGACATTCAGAAGCCGCGCGCCGTGGAATCAAGAATATATCGACTCTCTGTAGGATGGCGTGCAATGTCCGTTTGAATATATTTCGATACGATACAAATACCTAGGAACGTGATATCGCCGGTTACCGGCGACACGCAGAAAATATGGTCTAGATGTAATTATAAAAATGTATTTTTGTGCTAAAAGTCAATCTTATTATAAACATTATCAATAGGTAGCGGTTGATCGAAGTTCGGCAGTTCGATACTTGCGACTTTCAAAGACTCCCGCCGTTATGAGGCGTTAGCCAACTGTCGTCACGTCAGCGAACAATAAAATACACACACACACACACACATTATAATTTACGAGAAGAGAGATTAACGCAGGTGAATATTTCAATGAAATACGCGTGGCCACACACTCGGGCAGAAAATTGAATCGACTGCGAAATGAATATTTGCTTGACCTATTATATTGCGGAGATATATCCGCGACTTTGAGCCTCGTAAGAATCGATGTAACGCGTAACGCAGAACGACGCGGAACGGAGGAGTTACGTTAACGCGTGCCGAAGAAAATTGTATGATACCGATAAAAATAAAGGCTGTTATACAAGTTCGTTGGTTGCGTGATCGATTGACCCGATATTCACCGGGGCGATCGGCGACGAGAGCCGATTAGGGCTCAGAGCGGGGGGTTAAAACTTGCATGTGCACCCCTACGTAGGTAAGTACGTAGGTGTAATAGCAGATGCGTGTTCGACGGTGAGATTCGGCGGGAAGAGGAAGAAGGGAAGTCGAGCGACATAATAATTTCGGGTGGCGGTCTGTGGAGAAGGGCGTGAAAAGTACAGTCAAGCGGGGCTTGCTCGCGTCGAACGGGCAATCCCCCCGGGGGGGCTTTGCGCAACACGGCGCACAGTTGTCGATACAGTTCATTGTCGCGATGTCCATTGAAATCTCCGCGACAATGGGTGGAACAGGCCGATCGTATTGTCGTCCGCGTGCATCTCCAGTCCCTGGCTGGCTGGCTGACTGACTGGCCGACTCCATCTTTTGGAAAGATCGGGCCCCGGGTAAGGAAAGATTACGTCCGTTAATCTCCCCTGATCTTACGGTGGCTGTTACCTTTCTCTCTTCGTCGATCTCTCTTCGTATTCCTCTCGAAACGAAATCGAAAATCGTTTGCGGAGAATGACGTAACAACACGTAACAACGACATCGCGAGACACCAGGAGAGATCTCGTCAGGATGTAAAAGGGGCAAGTTGGCAAGATAATTGAGCGTAATTGGTCAGGTTTGATGACAGATGCGACCCTGGCTGCGGGGGAGGGGGTGGGAGAGGGAGAGGGAGCTAGGGGGTTTCGAGGCACAAGGCGGGAACGGACGAACGAAGAAGGAGGGATAGGGATGGGGGACGGGGATGGTCTATAATTTATAAACTAGGGGCTGTTTTGGGGTAATTGCAGATAACGATGGGGCGGTCCGGATAACAAGCCGACATGGGAGTCACTGGACACCCTGCCACTCCAGCATCCACCGGTAACACCATAACCTTCGTTATATACGGCTATTCATTCTCTCGTGCCGTGTATCGTTCGCATCGCTGTCCAACCATAAGTTACGTCACGCGTGACACCGTCGCGCGAGGGTCCTCTTAATAAATCGCGGCTTTTGCACTTCCGTTTGATGGCGCTGCTTTAATTTTCGTCGCGTTCGTGATTAAAAAAGAACGACCGGCGAAGAAATGGAACGCGTCGAAACGGAACGATCGTTGGAAAATAATTGGGTGAAGAGGAGAGGGGACGGAACTTCCCTGTTTCGCGCGCGTGTAAATACACGAGCGATGAACGAATCTGGATTTCGATAGGTGTATATAATTTTTAATATATCGGTGTCCATAATATGACCCATAAGTTTCTGCTACATGTGTTCAAGGTCGGCAATAAATAAATAAATACCACAAATTTGTTTCAAAACGGGAACTATTAAATAGTACTTTATACAAGAAAGAATAAGCGTCATAATTAACAATTGTATTATGAAATACATGTGCAAATTAAAAATTGAGTCACAACAGATAATATATAAATATGTGACAGAAAGAAAGAAATCTTCATTTGGATTTAAGGCAGCATTTCCTATAAGCATCAGAAGTATGTTTCTATTTTGTATGTGATTTTCAACAGAACCAAGTGTGTTTCGTTCAAGTTAAACATCTCGATGTACACCAAAAATTAAACTAAGAGATACATTGTCAATTGCTTGTTTAGTAGCTTTCTCATTAATTATCAGGGTGGATTTAATTAACTGCAATGGACGTTTGAAAACAGGAAAAGCAAATAATAAAGAAAGGATCGAAATGTGCTTTGTCGAAAGTTTCTGACGTCAAGGGACCAACACTCGTTAGAAATCCCCTCTTTACAGCCGCATCATTAACAAAAATGTCTTTCCCATTGTACAGGGTCATGGATCCGCAAACACACTAATCTCTAATTCTATAATGCGGTTCAAGTACAAAATCCTCGGGGAAACAATCGTAAACACTGTACCTGACATTTGTACAGATTTTCTACACGCGACTTTAACGGTCGGACAGGCTTTTCGTTTCCTCTTTAAGGCTTTACTTCACACCTCGTTGAGCGAAATGCGCATCGTGGTTCGGTTGTTAGGTCGCTGGGAATCCGTTTAGTCCGCAACAAAAACCGCTCGAACTACCTGGCCCTCAGTCTCGTGTGGCTACGAGGCAGAAAACAAGTTGCACCTATATTTTGACAAGCTGCAGAACTCCAAGTGTTTGTTTAAGCAGTTTGTGTAAACTGAAGAAACTAATGCTACCACCATGATCGGATGTCAACACCGACTAAACGACGCGATGATTATTCTTCGACTACTTTTCAAAATTCGATTTTTTTTTTTTTTTTTTTAGAATTTATTCTAAAGTAAAAGGAAAAAAAAAAAAGATTCAACAACGTGCATAAGAAAATTTTGCATCCGTCTACTGTAAAAAAAAAAAAGAGCGTCAGCTCTGGAGCAGAAGACTTAAACGTCTTCTCCGAAACGCTGGGCATTCGCGTTTTAATCGGCAGTACACGTGGATAGATCGGGGAGACGCTTCCTGGAGATGCTATAAATACAACTCTCGGAGGTATGACGCGATAATTACTCGATTCTCACAGCATAGCCAGTTGCTTGGTCAACTCGTCGGTGATAAGCCGATAAAGGGATGGCGCGGCCTTGAAATGTTTGCACGATCAGCGCGAAGAATCGTGGTAACAGCGCGTTTCGTCCCTAATACAACTCGCATACGTGCACGAGCTTGCGATGCGCCGTGGAACGATTTAACAGACTATCGTCGTGTATCTCGAAAAGTATCGCGCGGCCATCTTCTCGATAATTTTCCCACAAACTGATCGAATGAGATTTAATTGGCTAGATTGCTGTTCTCCCGTTAGAAAAAAATGTTCAAAAAGCGACGTCGTCGCTGCTCGGTCGTCGTGTAAAATTTGCTTAATTCCCCGGGAATAAATCACGAACGCGAAACGAGGGTGTAACCTCTAATTAAATAAATCTTGGTTGCGGTATGGACGATTTCGTCGCTCGATAGCCAGCCCCCGAGAGGAAAAGGGGACAATGATACGCGTACACATACACAGACACACGTGCACGAAGGAGAAACGTTGGAGGGCTGGCAACACGCTGCTTGGTCGTCCACGTATGTGAACATCTACCCCTACTGGGGTGCTCCGAACCGACAGATTCAACGATGTAACGCGAAGCCCACCAAACTTTCTCTTCGTTTGTTTCGCGTTTCTTTTCTCCTTCTTTCACACCCGGCTCTACGCCGTTTCTACCTCGTTTCTACGTATCGCTAACGTGTTACGTTTTATCACGCGAGAACCATCGACGTCGAACGACACGAGAAGGAATTTCGCGACGCAGGATTTTCAATTCGGCGGTGGTAAATGCACGCAGGATGTCGCGTATATACATACATATGTATGCACGTGTATTTTCGGTAGGTAGTTGCATCGAATAGGTACGAGGGTAAAAGATGGCCGGAGAAAGTTTCATCGGATTGGGAGGAGGATGAAAATAGAGGGGCGGAAGGGAGCGGAGAAAGAGAGGGAGAACGCAAGAGGGGAAAGGTTACAGGGAAAGACAGGAACGTGGCGTGAATGGAGGGAGTTCATAATAACATCGAGGGAGCAACAGGGTTCTCTGTGTTCAGATGCTCTTTTCAAGAGTGAGAACCCTCCTCGACGCGCATTCAAGTGTCGCCGCTTTGTAATACCTCTTAATACCGCTCGCTCGTCGACGTTATTAAGGATCCGGAACATATTGTCGACATAACAGCGGCGAAATACTTGTATGGCGTCAAGCCTTTTATTGTTGGTGCGAGGCGCGGGCGCGGCC